TTAGTGTTTTATTATAACCCGCTTTTGGCGTCATCATTCACATAAATAACCAACAACCAAGCAAACAGATCTCGTCTTGACCATTGTCTTGGCCATTCAATGGCCTTTCTCTCTGTCTCTCTCTCTCTCTCTATATCTCTCTCTTAGCCTGTTTGATTAGCCAAATGCACAGACAGTGGCCTGGGAAGTGGCACAGGTTCAAGACGAAAACGCTCTTCGCTCTTTCGGGTCATCGGCGTCTTCGGGATCAGGTTCCGCTATTGGCATTGGCCATCGTGCATTTTATCTTTATTTAACCAAATATATCGCATCGCATCGTATCGTATTTGTAGCATTGCGGCACGATTTTAAAGAGGCTTTTGAAATGAGTTTTTTATGTATGGGCTCCGTCTTTTACTTGTATATATATTTGATGGCACGACTTTTGGCGCTTAAGAACAACCAAAACACACCAAAAATCGTGCCTCGATGACCCTTTTTGTGTTCGGCATGTAAAGCAGCCCAAAAAACAAATTGTTTATCAGAAATAACAATTCAAAAACCCAACAAATTTGTGTTTAAAACAATTACTGATGAAAAAACAACAAATACATTGAAAAGTAAAATAGGAGAGATGGAAATCAGATACAAAATAATTGTTGAAATAAAAAGTCTATTAAAAAACGAAGTCTTAGACTTGAGAGGGGGCTCCCTCTCAATAATTATATCAATTTTTATTATAAGTTTAAAATAAAATTAATGGCACAATAATGAAGCCTTTTAAAAAGTTTCCTCAAAGAAAATTTGAATACAGTCTTATCTGTGATGTATTGTGGTTTCCAATGCATTTCCACATATGTATCTGGTAGTGCCCTAAAATTTGAACTTACCACAGACTTACTGGTACGCACCGTGGAATGATGGAAAAAGTCGAGTAAGTGCACTCACAAGTGCACTCATTTACATAACTCCCGACGAAAGACAACAGCGACCACGACCACGACGACCACGACGACCACGACGTCCACGAAGTCCCCCGTGGATGGATGGAAACCAGGTCAGAAGACAATTGTATTGTCCAATCCGCGGACGGGCTTATCGCGCGTCTCCTTCCCCCTTTATTTTTGTCGGACAATTAAATGGCGTTTATGATGTCGTTTTATCTCCGTCTCTATCTCTTGCTTTGGAGGAAAACCCTCGGCAGAAACAGACGGCAACAAAAACCTCGCTAGTATCCGCTATTTTTGGTAGGTTTCGTGGATTGCAGTCTTTTTTTTTCGTTTTTAGACAGTGGGTTATTATTTTGTGATTATGGCAGCAACGTTTTCCGTTTGCAACACTTTCGTCAGTGGAGTGTGGCCCAGGGGAGTGACATAATTTCATACATGGGAATCATAACGGTGTGTGGAAATGTGACCCAATTATAGAGTATTCCATAAGCACACGGATTCTATCCCTCACCCTCTGGTATTTCCCCCATTAATTCTACAAATTTTTGGTACAGTTTTTACCTTAGATTGTACCTTGACTTTGGCTTTTGTATTCTTATTGAGTGACCTCTATCTAAGCCCACTACTTCTCGTTTTTCTCTGTATTTCTGTTTTCTGTTTCAATTTCATACTGAATGAATGATCTATTAAGTGGCATTTCGAACAAATGAAATCAAAACATTTTTAATGGCTAATTGTTGCACAGTAGCCGCGGCAGCTGGCCCTGGCAGCTCCGTCTTGGCATGAAATTTTGTATTAACTTAGAAATTGGTTTGGTTACTTGCTTCCGCAATTATGTTTTTCTTGTATCTTTATAGACGATAGATACATATGTCTATAACACCCATGTGAATGGTATTTGCCCAATTCGGTTTAATGAGCTGTCAAGTGCGAGCTGAGAGGCCGCGTTGATGGATTCCGCGATAGGCGGGCGGGGGGGTTAACATTGCCATTTGGATTATTTTAATATGATTAATGATGTGGAATTGTTGAAATGCGAGCTGTTTTAAAGCTTTACTTGATGGTTATGTATTAAGAAAAGTAATTTATAACTAAAAATGTCGTAGAACCATAGACAAATATTTACATTATAATTCAGGCTCTCGACTGTGATCGATATACTCCAACCCCCCTTGATACTTATCGGTATCACCCATCTCTAATTACCACACACACATACACGCCCACACATCGAACTAACGAGAGCTGTTTCGATGACAGCTCTCTTCAAGTGCTGTTCAAGTGCTCAAGTTCAAGACTGTCCAGTGTACTATTTTTACTTTTATTCCATTCGAAAATAAACCGAAATTAAGTCTTTCATTTAATGGTCTCTTGATGCCAGTTCGACTCTGTGTAGGCTTTCAAGTGTCTCACTATTTTTGCCATTTTCGTGGGCAAGTTCTGGCAAATTACTTTTGCTTTTCATTATCTGTCTGGGGGGATACTCGCATGCAAATATTTACCTAATATTTGATTGTATTCCCCTTAACGCTTTTTCAACATACATTTTTTTGATGGATTAGCAGACGTTTGCTAAATATTTTGCACGATTCGAATCGTATAACTGGGTCAAAGTTTAACCTCGCCAAAAAAAAAGGTAACACATCCACACAGAAAACAAAGCAAAATATAAATAATCAATACATTTGAAAAAAATGCAAACTTTATTCAAAAGGGATTTATCCAATTGGCATTTGGCCAGCAAATGATTAATTAGACGATGAGCCAACGCAATGACAGTTAATTACTGGTTACCATAGTCGTTGATGCGGGTTCCTATTTATGTACATACATATATATGTATGTTTGTATGTGAGTGGCGGGAAGGACAAAGATATTGACATTTTACAAAACCTTCAATTAAAAGAATTAGGTAAGGAGTGGTTTTGAGTTTCGTGTATTTCATAGTTTGTTGGTAGTTCGCATATTATTTTACAGCTTGTAGTTAATCGAATATCCAATACAATTAAGCACCAACAAATAAATTCTGGAGAGTACTGAGTAAGTTAAGTAAGTTTGGCTAAGTTTTGCTGCACTGTTTACCTTTGAGACACTCTTAGACACGATCCTTCACCTATTAATCAATTGCCTTTAAGAGTACAGCCACACTTTACTATTTTAAGAACAAAGGATGAGGTTTTCCAACTACGTGTTCGAATTATAGGCCGAAAACCCCATAAATTTCAGATAACCTTGCAACACTTGTGCACATAAGTATACATACGTACAAACACTTTCAAGGTCCCCCGAAACCCGAAAAAAGAAACATTATCAACGTGATATTTGCACAGCAGCAGCAACAGCCACGAAACGCATTCATCCATCAGCTGTGGGGAGATCGTGTGATGTCAAAACTTTTTTCGAGAAGAGAATCTCTGGGATGGGATGACACAGGGAAGTACAAGAAAAGATACAGAGAGAAGGAAGATGAAAAGCGAAGATAAGCGCAGAAAAATGAAATGTCAAAAAAAAAATACAAAATGAGTAACCAGAACGAAAGAACACCTGCTGGATGCTGCATGCTGGATGGAGGCCGGAGGCAGACGAAAATCGAATTTGCAAAATATTCCCTCAAGGGATCTTGTCCTCTCTCTCTACCGTCAAGTCTATAATTCCCTTTGGGATATCTCTTTATTTCTCTCTTTGTCGGTACTTATTCTTGGGTGTTTTTTTTCGAGACTTTTTCTTTGGGACTCTCTCTTGTCTTTTTTGGTAATTCATTCATTCATGAATTTCGTGTACATTTCTTGTTTTGTGTAATTCCTCTTTGTGTTGATGCAAATTTTTGCGTTTCATTTTCTTTTTGCTGTCTGTATAGAATTACGCTTGAGTGTGCATAAAAGAGATGGATATAGAGACAGACAGAGACAAGAGGTTACAAATAAGAAACCAAATAAACCACAAAGAGACCGAGTGGCCGACGGACCGACTTCCTCCACCGTCAGCCGCTCTCTTCAAAATTCCTGGATTTTGTGGCAGTGGCACGGCATTGTGTTGTTGCCCAGGGTCATGCCTCTCTAGTCATAAGCCAAGCCGATGCCGAACGATCAGAGCAACTTTCATTAAAGCCAAACCCACAAAAAAGCGATCCAAACAAAACGGTCATTATACCAGCGACTAAAGAAATACATACATACATACATACGCTATGGGTACCCCGTGTATACCCATACCCATAGATTGGCCATTTAATCTCAAGCTCTAGACATGTCAAAGATCAAAGACACAAAAGTGTTATTATTAGAGTCCGAGACTCTAACCCCGAATGTGGCCTTAGCTGTTGGGGCCCCTGAAACGTTATATTATGCAATGGCCCCAAAGAGGCGACTGTCATGCAACCGAAATGTATCCTAGAAGTCTCTACACTCCAACACTTCGCAATTCCTTCTTCTGCTGGCCATCCAAAGTAGATCGCCCATCTTTCTGTGTGTGAGATTTGCTTTTGGGAGCTACCTTTTGAAATTTCTTGGTTTTCTCAAAATCTTCTTTACGATCTTTTTTCGGTGCGTGTGTGCATTGGCATTGCCTGTCTCTCCTCCGAGGTCCGAGAAGAAGCAGTGCTGCAGCTTCTGTTGCCGTTCACGTTACCGGCTTCCTTCACTTCCCTTCACTTCACTTCACAGTTTGCTCAAAGATTCGCCCCGGGCCCTAGTCAACGTTTTTTTCTTTTCCGCTTCTCTCTCTCGCTCTCTGTTTAGGTTTTGTTTTATTTTTTACCATTTTCCTGGCTTGGCGCATGCGCCGCTGTGGATGCAAACTGGTTTTAACAGTTTTTTTCCTTCTCCCTCGAATGTCTGTTGAATTTATTATTTTTTGCGCTCTGTAAGACTGCAAACTTTGCATTACCCCCTCCCCTTGATGGAGGGAAAAACAATAGACCAAGAAAATGTTATTCCCCGAGTAATTCTAATTCTCGTTGATCTTTTGGCAACTGATATACTTTCTGCTTCCTCATTGTTTTATGTGTACAAGAAATTCAATTTGATAGACGTTTTCTCAGCTGTTTCAATGAAAATTTGGATAAATACAAACCTTTTTGAGATTTTACGCCTTTTCGCTTTGTGTTGGTGTTAATTTTGTTTTGGGTTTCTTTAATTTTCTACACCAATCTAATTTCACTCTTTATTATAATTTTGATGGAATCTTGTTTTTTTCTTTTCCTTCCACCCTCCTTTTTTTGGGTATTATTTTCTTGGGAAAAATATTTCTTTATTAAGGTATATTATTTATTGCCTTTTGCCAGTTAATTTTACAAATCGCATTCAAAATTTAATTTCACTTTGCTTTCTTGTTTTGTTATCTTTTATCTTTTGTGTAATATATTCCACATTTTGTTGTATATCTCCCCGATTGAATTTCCGAACAAAAAGCTAAACATAGAGCCGCCTCGTTATGGAGCTGCTGCCACTTGACTTTCGTTCGTTCCGAAACACGTTCACGTCGTACACGGCTCAAACACCTTCCGCGCAATGTTACCAACACGGCCAGCTGACGTTCAAGAACTGAGGTGCTAGGTGGTACGAAACTGTCTCTGAATCGGGGAAACTCTGAAAGACAAGAGACCCGCTTCAGATACTCAAGACGTGAATGGCATGGTATATTTTTATGCAAGGTACGGGCTGTGGTGGGCTGTAAGAATGATAGAAATAAATCAGGGACCTCAGCACATCAAAATCTTCACACAAAATAAGACTTGTTAGAATAATCATATTCTTGAATTTCCTTAAATTCAAGAGGCTAATCGCTGAGTTGTCCCCATCTTAATGATTGTTTTACCCTGGACGTCGCTGCCTCTTGTGGATCGTGCACTTTCGCCCTCTCATTTGCGCTCTCTCGCTCTTTTACCTGGGTCTCTCACTTGTGCGAAGCAGGCCAAAGCCAAGCAGCTGATTGTGCTTGCATTGGGTTCCACAACTTGAGGATGGCATTGCTAAAAACCGTTGAAACGGTTAAGTGCGGCATTCGAAACGGTTCAGCGTAAAAGAGCTAAAAATCGATACATGCAGCAAAACTAATTAAATAACAAATCTACAGAGCCCGATTATATGAATACCTAAAGTACACGGAACGATTCACGGAATTTCCATTACGGTTTATCTAAATTAACAAATAGCTATAGTCGTAGCCAAGTAGATAGGCCTTGCGTATCTATATAAAGACGAGCTGCACAGGTTCTAGAAATATCAGTCTTGAAACTCTATAGCTTTCTATAATTTCAAGATGATTTTTTTGTTGAGTTTTTTCATTGTGGGAGTACTAAGTAGCAATGGCGACCAACAGCCAATAGTAGCTAGGAGTCCAACATCTTTAACCGTTGATGATTCCTCTTCGTCTGCTAATACTACTGGTGTTACTAGTACTACCACTACTGCTGCACCGTTACCCCCTCCTAAAACTGATCCTCCTACAACACTACAACCTGACACTACTACCCAAGATCCTAACATCAAGCTGGATGCAGAAGCAACGGATAAGCTTCTACATATCCTCAGTTCCAGTGAGGGTAAAATCGATGGAAACATTGAGTATGCCGAATGGATTAGTAAAATCCGTGCAGCCAGTAAATTGGGGAAGGATCGAGTGTATGATAAGATTGTCACTGGCACTCGGTTTGAGGCCTACATGGCCCGTCGTCAGGAGCTGGAACACGATATCCACGAACGCCTAGATGAGCTTGATTTGCTTATACCAGACCAGGAGCGGGATAGCAGATGCTCAAAATTCTATCAGCATCAAAAGAGACGTCTCAAAACAGCTCTAAGCCTCAGCAATGAACAAAAAAAAACAAATCTGAAGGAAAACTCCATAAAATGTTCGTATAGGGATGATAATGATGATGAATATTACGATTATCAATCTGATTCGCTTGAGGACTACTACTACGATGAAGACTACTACCAGTGAACAAGTGGTATATTGGCCAGAGAAAGTTATATACGTATATACATATATAAAAATAAAGAATTAAATGATCATAACTATAATATAATGATGTGTGTAATACTTAATATTTAAAGATTTAAAATCTATCTACGTATGTACCTTTCTTCCAGAAAGGATCGCTTTAAAGTCCATAAAATCGAAAATATGTATTTTCTTCATAACAATATAAGTGTTATGGTTTATAGTTCATATGGCAACTTACAGTAAGTGAATGGCCCTCCAAAAACGAGTTCAAGGCTCATAAATGGAATACCCTTTGGCAGATATGCCTAACGCTGAGTCGACTTATGAACAAAACCGTGATCCAATGTACTATGCAAAAATACTGACCAATAGTTCGCTGGGGCACGGGAAGGTCATCATGGCTCTCATCGAATCATTCAAGATACACTTAGAGATCGGAAGTGCTTCAAGGCAGCATGTAGGGTATCCAATAAAAATCCCTTGGAAACATCTCAAAAACCTGTAGATTCATGGTCTTTGTGGACGAAAACTAAAACACCAATATCCAATATCCAGTATCCAATACCACAAAAATCCAGTGTTGTACAAATACATTGGCCGACAACTCAAAAATGGTGGCCTCAACCATCAGCTAGTAATTGACCAACAACTAAAGCACCAGCTAATAGTTGGTATTGGACAAGTCCAAAAAAATCGGGTATTTTCCGACAACTTCGAGAGCCGGTGGTTATGGTTATTAAATGATCAGATTTGCCTTAATTTCTATCGAATGTAGCAGAGAGCTCTTCATAAATACCAAAGAATTGCAAGAAGCCAAAAAGAGGATAAGGTCAGGGTGAACTATGAAAAGTGTTCCTGCCCTGTTTATGAATACTCTAATGATGAGGAACTGCATCGATAATGATTAACTTTCAAGTTTGAGTATTGACTCATACGCAACATACAAAAGATATAAATTTATGTTATGGTTATTATGGATGGTCTTGACTCACTGATTAATGAAATTTTATAATTTTTGCAGTCCCTGGATGATACGGATGAGGATTTTGAAGAATTTCAATTTTACCTATAACGCTGAGGATGATGAATATTTAAATTGAAGCGTAGAAGATTTAATTGAAATAATTGTAGCCTTTAAAATCGTTTGGTTATGCCTCAAAATAAACCATCAGCTAAAGTTTTAAGATTCCACTTACATTTAAGATTTCTTTGGAACAAGATGAAACTTTTGTTGATAATTCTTTTTGCAAGGGCAAGCTACCGTAAGTGAATGTCCCTTAAGAAAAACTATGGGCTACAGCTATCATTCCGTGACAGATTTGGTTGACGGGGTGCTGCCCAAACCAGACATCAACCGACAATCCAACAAGGATCGACTACCCAATAATGATCACATTTCGGATGAACCCATTATCGAGGCTTTACGACAGAGAATTTACCAAAAGATCGAAACGGTCAAGTGGAAGGGTCACCTTAAGTCCTGGGTGGATGTCGGGGTTCATATGCTGAGTGGACCAATTGGGAGAATTAATGAAGCAGTCAGGTTCATGGGATACAATCCCACATATGAGCAGGTAATGGCCAAAACCCGGCAGTTGATATGGGAGAAGAGCCATAGGGCCCTGGATATAGTGTGGGGAAAGCTTTCCTGGCTTCTAGGTCTCATTCATGCCAAGATATTGACTACCCTAGAGCAAAAAAAGGTTGGTGGATATTATTTATTGAAGAGTTCAAATTTCAAAGGATCTGTGATATTTTTTCATTCAGAAGCAAAATTTGGATCACATGGAAGTACTTGAGGAACCGGAAAAATTAGATGTACAGTATAAGGACTATGTATGAAGTGTATATGAGGGAATCCCAAAAGTAATGTGGAATTTTTGAATTATACAAATATTTATGCATACATCTATCCATAATACTTTTATATTTGGAAGCAGTCCGATAAAGTAAAAGAAAGAAACTTTTATCAGCGAATTCATTCTTAATTAGTAAATGCAAAGGATATAAATTTATGTTATTGTTATTATGGTTGGTCTTGAATCACTGATGCATGAAATTTATTAATCTATTAATATGCATTCGCTTGTGACACTCGAGTCGAGCATCAATCGTGCACTCGATATGTAATCTCTGGTTATATTCTTAGGCATTCTCTTTTGAAACGTCCAAAAGCTCATTGCATTCAACAACTACCAGATGTGTTACGGAGCAAGGAAGAGCCCAGAGCTCGGAAAAGGAGGCAAGGCACAGCGCAGCTCATAATCCTTTGAAAAGAAGCTTGAGAAGATAATGAAGAAACTGGGTCTGTTCGATAAGTTTGCCGACCGCGTCTGAAAGACCATCCTCTGTGATAAGAAAAAGCTAAAGAAGCTCAAGAAGAAGCTGAATTATCCAGTTCGGAAGACTAACGTCCTGCGAATATTTATTTTTTGACTATGATAGCAATTTCAATTATTACGATTATTGCAAACAGCTTGTTTGATACAATTAAAACTGTGTAGAAATAATGCTTCAAATCAATTCTTTGGTTTAAAAAATAGAGTATATTTTGTATGGAATTCCATTTTCCAAAATTCATTAAAGATAACTTGTGACTAATACCACATTCATCTTTGACCTGGAAAACTCTATTAAATACTTAAATACTCAGTCAACAGTTATTTCCACCCACGAGTGTCAGCCAACAGAAGTCCCAACAGATCGCCGCAAAAAACCGCAAGCTAAAAATCCCCAAGATCCCAAAGCTCAAAGATCTATAGAGTTCGAGTTCATTTCCGATATGCAAGCCAAAATAGGATACGCTTGAATAAATTATGAGCTTAATTGGGATTTAATCCCAATCAGTTCTTTGGTGGCATACAACTTGAGAGAACTTAAGCGATATTTGTTATAACACAAATGAAGTCAGGGAAAACACTATGCAAAATTCGAAATACTTTACACTTCATTAAAGATAATCGCGTAACCCCGAATTCCACTACAGAACTAACCCAAACACTCAGGCACCAAAGTGACCTTAAGCCTGGAAAAGTCCATTAATATTTAACTGCCTGTCAAAGACGGACACATAACTCATTTCTATGCATGAGTGCAAAAGGGGCTTTAAAATGCCAGCGATCTATGGAAGCCACAGACAGAAGTCACCAACGATCCAGAGAAGCCATAATCGATCCGTAGAGGCCACAAATAGGAGCCATGATTGGGGTTGCTGTTTTACCGGTAATCTTACTCATCTTTCTGGGACTTCCCATCCATGGAGAGCATTTAGAGCCGCTCCGGCAGCTAGATGATCTTGTGACAACCAGGATCAAAGAGGCCCTCAGAAAGGCTGCCAATTCCAGCATAGAAGGAGTCCTTGAACCCTATAAGAATCTACAGGAGGCTGCAGGCTGGCCATTCGCACAATTAGATGAAAAAATCAAAGCGTACAACAGCTATAAATCCTACAAGGACTCAACTACTGTAGAAAACATCACCGATCCGAGCGAACTATTCAATGTGGCTCCACGCAAAGTAGACAAACGTTTCCGAAGGAAAGTTATAAGGATACTCAAACGTCTGGGTATCTATGATCCATTTGGGAAGCGCGTCTGGAAGGCCATCTTCAGTGATGAGCAAAATCTAAAGAGGCTTAAAAAAAAACTGGATGCCATCAAGGACTCGAATGAAGATGATTCGGATGACGCTGACAACTTGTGGGACTTTATCTTCAGTTTCTGGCATTGAGCTCGACTTTTGTTTAGTTTTAGTTTGTTTTTTCTATAAATAATTAAGTTTCGTTTTAGTTTCAGATTTATTTTAAAATAAAGCTTATACATGGCATTGCATATGTGTGTGGTGTATCTGTGTCTGTACTCTACAGCCTTTTGTGCTGTTGTTTTCCAGTGATTTACATGCGGACAAAGCCAATTGACAGCTGGCCCCAAGCCTTACGGAGTGCGAAAGAAACAGAGAGAGAGAGAGAGGGAGATGGGGAATGTTGTCAGAGGCAAAAACAAACAAAATGCATTTAACTGTGCCGGGGATCCCAACCAATTTTTGTGCCCCTCCCCTCCGCACCAACCACTTAGCCTGTCTTCTGTGGATCCGAGGCATCCAAGGGCTGAGGCCAAGCTCCTGCTTGGACATTTCACTATCGTGTGTGCGCGTTGAAACAAAAAAAGTGTTGGCGTGCATCCTGGTGCAAGATCAGGCCAAGCCGGCTGCAACTGGATGTTGCAAGTGAGGCGCAGATGCAATCACCAGACAGCCCACTCAGCAGGAACCTCCAGAGCTCCTCTGTTGTTTGGGCTGCTGCTGCTGCTGTCGCGTTTCTCAGACAGTTTGAAGTTTAACAAGTTGTCGAACTACGCAGATCCGCAGAGTAGAGGTTTTATAAATAGCCCCAGAGATGCGGAGTAGCTGTGGAATCTGGTATCTACAGTATACAGTGTGGAGCAGCCTGGCTGGCAGAGGTCACAGAGGGACCACAGCGGACCTCTCTGTCTTTCGGTTTCTATCTGGTGTCATAGTTTTGGGGGGCTTTATTTCTCGATTAGAAACACTTTTGGCCACATCATAAGCGGGTCATCTGAGAGAGCCTCGCCTTTAGTGGGCCAGATAAAAACAAATACCGATAGAATGTGTAGTGAGAAAATTAATATTTAAGTTCTACTTGGGTTATGAAATCTTGTGGCTGGAAGTGCTCCACCGTTAGCTCTATAGATTCTTGAACATTCCTCAAGTTGGAAGCAAAGCCCTGGCAAACCCATCCGCAAACTCACGGATTGAAGATGCTGCTGTTCGATCGGTGATAAATCATTGGCTGCCTGGCTGGCTGGCTGCTGGGTACCAAAGTAGAGCGCTGACATGGGAGTAGTAGAGCCAAAAGGCCGGCCAGTCCCAGCGAAGAAAAATGCGCACAACACGGAATTAATGTCAACGGCATTAGAAGATTGACAACAAACACAAGGCACAAGCAGCAATAGCCACAGAGATACAAACAGCAATAACAGCAACAGTCGTAGCCATAGCCACAATCACGGATCGTCGATCGTCAAGACCGATTGATCATGGAAAGAGAAATTGTCAGCGAAAACGGCAATGACAAACTTCTGACAATTAAAACCAAGAAAGGAACATGACGGCAGCAGCCGCAATGACAATTGTGTGCTCTATGAAAGTAAATTACATATATTAAAAATAGTGCAATCAAGATTTAGTTATATCTTTTCTTTGCCTCTAAATCTAACAAGTGTAACAAGTGTAATTTAGATTCTCAATCTAAATATCTAAACATATACGAGTATAGAAAGAGTATCCACTGCCATTCATGCCTATGAGAGACAGAGAGAGAGTCTATCTATTTCTAGGTGCCTGTGTATTTTTATACCCTGCACTCGAAGAGTAAATAGGGTATATTGTATTTGTGGGGAATAACGGTTGTATGTAACGCACAGAAGGAAACGTTTCCGACCCCATAAAGTATATATATTCTTGATCAGCATCAATAGACGAGTCGATAGAGGCATGTCTGTCTGTCCGTCTTGTTCGTCGGTTAGTTCTCAGAGACTATAAGAGCTAGAGCCACCAAATTTTGGCTCCAGAATGCTGTATGCTCACGCTGAAACCAGTGTATTTCAAAAATGAGCCACGCGCCCTTCCACCCCCTCAAAAGGGCGAAAACCTCCCAAATCTACAAGGAAACTAAAAATTCGGATCATTATTATAAAAGTGTGTATATAACGGGTATAAAAGTTGTGACGCCTAAGAAGCGTCTCACACGTCACTGCTCGTTCTGTGTGCATTCAATGATTATGAAAATCGATAGTCAGCCGATGGTTTGGGTTGGGTCCTGGGTCTTCTGGCCCCAAGCTGAAAACTGTCGGAGCTGTCGGTGCCTGCTGTCAGTCGATGTTCCTTTTGGCCCATGAGCAGACTGGTGGCTGACATGTGATATTTAGGCATTGAGGCTATAATTGCTCCTCAAACGAGCCATCATAAAGCGGCCACCATATATAAGGTGGCCAGCGACAGGACTTCTTACAGCACTCGAAAATGCAAAACTTCTGGTTACTGTTGGGTCTGCTGCTGAGTCGGGAAGCTTGCACAAGGGTCTCATATCTCCCTGCAAATGAGTCGGATGTGGCCATGGGTATTTTGTGCACATTTTCAATGGAATTCTAATAGAAATTATCCTACTTACCTTCGACCAGCTCTTTCGCAGATCATCAATGGCCTGAGACCACGTCCTTTGGCCATTCTGGCCCTACCTTCGTTTAGTTTGATGAGCGCCTGCTGCGAGAACGATCAGGGCATTCAGGTGGATGACTTTATACAGCGCCTTCATCGACTGTACTACAAGTCCGTGATCTTCAACAACACGGAACTGTTTTTCCAGCACATCGAAGCGAATCTCCAGGGCGCCATTGAGTGCGTCAGTCTGATTCTCGATGAGCCGAAGGAGCTATCCGATCGCATACAGGAGCGTCGTCTGGCCCATCGCCTCAGTCTGTTTATCTTCTACTGGGGCGCCCGCTGGCCGCCCAAAGCCAGTGCCATAAGCTTCGAGGAGCCCATGCGGGCGGTGGTCATTACACGACCCCGCCAAAAGGCCTTTCGGATCTACTACAATCAGGCGAGGCCCACAAGCGATGGGGAACTGAGGCTCGTGAATTGGTACGACGGGGATAACCTGGGACTACAGAGAACTCCCCTGCTGCCGCCTGCTGGATCGGTTTATGCCAATTTTGAGGGAAGAATCTTTCGTGTGCCTGTTTTTCATGTATGTGAGATAAGAGCTGGATCGTAGTTTCGTTTAGACTATGGACATATTTTCCTTTAAGTCTCCACCTTGGTTCTGGGTCAGTTATGGGCAGAACAGCAGCGACTCTGGCGAGGCAGAGGGCTCTAGCGAGGCTTCTGGAGAGATATCCAACGAACTGGGCGACAATCTCGAGTGCAACGAGGTCAGAGTCACGGGCGGACGTGATCATCGACTGCTCATGCTTCTGGCGGAGCACATGAACTTTCGCTTCGAGTATATCGAAGCTCCGGGCCGCACCCAGGGATCCCTCAAGTCCGACGATGCCAAGGAGTCGAATGAGAGCTTTACAGGGGGCATAGGACTGTTGCAGAGCAGAGTGGGTATCAAAGGGGCAGACAAACTCAATTCCAAATGATCCCATTTATCGTTTATAGATGGCAGACTTCTTCCTAGGCGACGTGGGCTTGAGTTGGGAGCGTCACAAGGCCATTGAGTTCTCATTCTTTACGCTCGCGGACTCGGGCGCTTTTGCCACACATGCCCCGCGGCGCCTCAACGAAGCCTTGGCCATTATGCGACCCTTTAAGCAGGACATTTGGCCGTATCTTATACTCACAATTGTGTTCTCAGGTCCCATTTTCTACGGGATCATAGCCATGCCGTATATTTGGCGGCGGCGGCAGGTCAACCTGGATGTGGAGCAACTGGGAGAGCTGTGCATCTATATGGCGTACATCAAGGAGATCACTCCCTGTGTGTTGAAGCTCAAGCGAAGGAGGGTTCCATCTGCACCCAGGATGCCCGATCAACTCTTTGAGAAGTGCATTTGGTTCACCCTTCGATTGTTCCTGAAGCAGTGTAAGTGAATCCATTACAAGTGTCCTCTGGCCCTGATGGCGCTTCCTTTTTGCAGCCTGTCAGGAGCTGTACCATGGCTATCGGGCCAAGTTCTTGACCATCGTGTATTGGGTCGCCGCCACCTATGTCCTGGCCGACGTATATTCCGCCCAATTGACCTCACAGTTTGCTAGGCCCGCCCATGAGGCACCCATCAATACGCTGCAGGGCCTGCAATCGGCCATGATACGCGACGGCTATCGTCTGTATGTGGAGAAAGAGAGCAGCTCCCTGGAGATGCTGGAGAACGGCACAGAGCTCTTTCGGCAGTTGTACGCCCTAATGCGCCAGCAGCAGCGCGATGGGCATCAGGGTTTCCTCATTGATTCTGTGGAGGCGGGAATAAAGCTCATAGCCGATGGCGGGGAGAACAAGGCCGTGCTTGGGGGCAGGGAGACCCTCTACTTCAACATACAACAATATGGGGCCAAGAATTTTCAATTGAGTCAGAAACTGTACACCCGCTACTCTGCGGTGGCTGTGCAGATTGGTTGTCCCTTTCTGGATAGCTTAAATGATGTGTAAGGAATGGCACTTAATATCTAATTAATCTTTAGAGCATTCCCTCCTTCTCATTGTAGACTCATCCACCTATTTGAGGGTGGCATCCTGGACAAAATGACCACCGCAGAGTACACCGCTCAGTCCCGTCAGATGACCAAGGATCAGGCCCAACAATTCAAGGAGCTAGCCGCTGCCGAGAGCGCCAAGGCTAACTCCAACGCTAAGAGCAGCGAGGCCCCAGCTCAGGAGCTCAATCAGGATAGCGAAATCATTAGTGCTCTCAATCTAAGGATGCTGCAAGGCGCCTTCATAGCACTCGGTGTGGGTTCTGTGGCAGCGGGTGAGTTTACCAAAGGCTTAGAGGGAAATAATATTTTTGTTTACATGTCTTCCAGCTTCCATGTTGCTGCTGGAGCTGCTTTTTCGGTGGCTGCCACTCGCTAGGGCTTTGAGGCATTCCTTTCATCGTTGCGTGCGTCGCTGGCGTCGCCTCAAACGTACCGTTCGTCCTTTCATTGTTCGAATCTTTGCACCCAAACTGGGATAGAGTATACTTGTTAGTATCCTTGATTGCAGGCTAGTCCCAAATACCCAAAAACGAATTCTAATGGGAAGAGTCTACAGTCTGACGGGG